TAAAAGCCGGGGTCGCCTTTGCCTCCCGACAGTCCCGGCAAACCTACAAAACCTGTCTCTCCTCTCATACCAACGAAACCTAATTGTAATGCAATAAGTGATTAATGATTGCAAACATCTTTCCAGTCAAATGTAATACCGGGTAAACCAGTCAATCCATTATCTCCTCTAAACCCGGGCCGACCGTCCAATCCATTGATTCCGTGCAAACCATTGTCACCACTTTCGCCCGTTTCACCCGAAAGTCCTGGTATTCCCATCTCTCCCATCAGGCCTTTCAGACCCGGAAGGCCGGGGAGACCGGGATTGCCTTTTTGTCCCAGTTCTCCGTCATAACCGGGTTGTGCTAATAATGCAATTCCTATTTCTCCCATTTGTCCTTCAATTCACGTTTAAATTACATTTAAATGAAGTTATTTAATTAAGATTTGCTAAAACTGACCCTTAGATCCGGGAAGTCCTACCAGACCTGGCGAACCCTCATAGCCATCGATTCCTTGCAATACATTTCAAAATTAACAAAAAGCGGTCATAATATTGAACACAACCTCTTAAGCCTTGATCTCCGCGCTCTCCTTTAGCGCCCTTAGCACTGGACCGACCGCTCAAACCCGGCAAACCTTGAATACCAGACACACCGGGCGGTCCTTTAGGTCCCGGGAGACCATCTCTTCCCGGCCAACCGGCGAACCCATCGTCTCCTTTGATTCCTAAAGTGTTTAATTAAATTGTTAATAATGTTTTTGAAGCAATATTTAAATTGAAAACCTGGTAATCCAGGAATTCCCGGTCTTCCCGGTGTCCCTCTTTGACCCCTCACTCCTTCCAAATTTGGTTCACTTCTGTCTCCCTTAACGCCTGTAATGAATGCATAGAAATTGTCAAATAAATTGTTGTGTAATTTATTTGTAAGAGAAATACCCGGAAAACCAGGCAATCCGTCGTGTCCGGGTCGGCCGGGCTGTCCCGATAGTCCCTGTTTTCCAGGTATACCCGTTAAACCATGAATTCCTTCATTTCCTTTGTCACCCTAAAAATAAACATAAATTAATTTAACATAAGTTGTCGTCAATTCGTTTATACCTTAAGCCCATAGAGTCCGGGAAGACCTCCATCTCCCGGCTCTCCTCTGTCTCCTCGAAGTCCTAAAGAATTCAAAGAAATTATTGAATATTTTTTCAAATATCAAAATATTTAAAACATTGCCTTCATATCCATCAGCACCGGGTCTTCCGGGTCTACCTCTGGTTCCCTCAGCGGGGTCTCCGCGCTCTCCCTTATCTCCTG